TAAAATCAAACCCCTAACTTAATTTAACCAAATCACAATTTCTTCAAAACCCTAGGATTAGGCCGAAATCAATAAAAACATTTCTAGGTGGTTTTAAAACATCGAACAAACTTGGAAATGATTCTACAACATCAATTCATAAAAAAACCTAACATCTTCTTCAACCACAAAATTTGGGAACTAAACATTCAAGCAAGATTAGCATGCAATATCGGTGCCAAATGATAGAGCATTTCAAATAAAAACAAATTTCTATTCCACAATTTAATCTAAAAACCAAAGGAAATTGCTCAAAAACGAAAAATAAAATTTCTCTTACCTAGGGTTTATGGATCATGGCAATGGAGGATAAAGATGAGTTTGGTCTCATGAAATTTCTAGTTATTTTCATGTTAATTTGTCATTTATTAAGCTTAAATGAATTTAAAATTCATTTAACGGGAAATGACAATTTTAATAATAATGAAACTTAACACATCCATACCAAGACACATGTTAATTATCATCTTTTAAAAGTCAAAGATGAACAAATTATTTCACCCTTTACAACTTTGCCCATGTACTTGTCCAAAAATTTAAATCTTGCCATTTTCATCCAACGTTCTAAAATGAACATGAAAATAAACTCTCAAATCCAATGATCTATGTTATTTTCCATCATTTTAAAATTTAGAAATAATATTTCTATACTTAATTTAATATCCTTCAAATTTTCTCAAAATTTCTATTCGATCCAATTTACCGAATTTTTATGGAACTTTAACACTTTATAGTTTTTAATACTAAATATGGATAAAAAAATATAATTCCATTGAAAACGTCATTCTTGGGGTGAATTATTCATTTAAGAAGCCAAAAATACCTAACTTTTGAAAAATACAATTTGATCCCTGAACTTTTCAAAACTTTATACTTTGGCCAGTATATTTTCAAAATTTATGTTTTGATCACTAACTAAAATTTGGGGTATTACATTATTCATGCGCAATTTATAATTCGGAGGTCTCCCACGGAAGTTGCTCTTGACCTGGCGTTGGGGGCAACCTAATATCCTACCTCCCCTTACCCCATTACATATGGGAATAAGGGTCAGCTAATTTTTTTATGTGCACATTAATCGTTCTCTTTTAGTTCTTTAGTCGAAAGTTTTTGTTCCTGAGTCTATGAGTCAATTTCAGCCAATTAGTTTATGTTCTATGATTTACAAGGTCATTTCTAAATTTTAGTTAATCAATTAAAATCTCTCATTCCTTCTTAGGTCACGGATAACCAACTTAGTTTTTTTTTCCGGAATGATCAATTACCGACAATGTTATTATTACCCAAGAAGTGGTGCACTCGATGAGGAAAAAATCTAGTAAGCGTGGATGGATGACGATTAAAATTGATCTGGATAAAGCGCATGACAGACTTGAGTTGGACTTTGTTGATGACACCCTGTCTGACATCGGAATTCCTGATACTATGCGATTTTTTATTATGCAATGTATTTCCATGCTTTCTTTTCATATTTTGTGGAATGGTCCATGACTGATTCTTTTATCCCGGGCCGAGGCATTCGTCAAGGGGATCCTTTATCCCCATACATATTTTTTTTTTGTATGGAGCATCTTGCTCAATCCATTCAGTTGGAAGTTGTGCACGATTGATGGCGGCCCTTCAGAACTTCTAAGACTAGTCCGGTGATTTTTCATTTGTTTTTTTACCGATGATATGATCTTGTTTACTGAGGCTACTTTGGATCAATTAAATGTTGTTAGATCGGTCTTCGATGATTTTTGTCAGGTTTCTGGGCACAAAGTTAGCATAGCTAAAACGATAATTTTCTTTTCTAAGAATGTATCCACCGTCATACGTCACAATATTAGCAGGGGTTTGGGTTTTGCTGAGGTGGTCGATCTTGGAAAGTATTTGGGTGTTCCGCTTTTGCATAGTAGGGTTAATTCTGCTTCTTATCAATACTTGGTTCAGATGGTTCAAAGGAACTTTGTGGCTGGAAAGTGAGTTGTTTATCTTTGGCGGGCCGCATTACACTAGCTAGAGCTGTTCTTTTCATGATTCCTACATATACAATGCAAACAACGGTTATACCGAAGAGTATCTGTTTGAATTTGGAGCAGATGATTCGTCAGTTTGTTTGGGGCACCTCTAATTCCGAAAACGACATTCCCTTGGTTAAATGGGATGATGTTTGTCATTCAATTCCTGAAGGCGCAAAATTGCTATACAGAACGAAGCTTTTCTTATGAAACATGTGTTCAACCATTTAACCCATAAAAATGACCTTTAAGTTCATTAGGGCGAAATATAAATGTAGTGATGGTATTCCGACGATGCTTAGGAGTTTGAATTGCTCTCGTCTTTGGAAAGGTTTGAGCATCATTTGGAACAATATTCGTAATAATATTGTTTGGTCTGTTGGATCAGGGAATGATGTGGATTTTTGGCATGACCCCTGGCTTGGTGATTTTGGTCCTCTAGCCCACGCTGTTCATTCAAACTATGTAACTCATCCTGGAAAATTTCCTGTTGCTGCTATTGTCGACTCTAATGGGGTTTGGAAATGGAATCTTTTCGAACACTTGCTTCCTCAAGAAGTGCTCCTGCGGATTTTTGGTACTAAAGGTCCCTCCTCTTCGACTGATAATAATATTATGGGTGGTGAGGTAATAGTGATTTGTCTTTCATAATTAAATCGGCATATAACCTTCGTCGTAACCCTGCTTTACGCTCGTCTAGCAACATCTGGAAGAATATTCACATGCTCAGGGGGCTGCCATGTATAAGAATTTTTTTGTGGCCAGTGTGCTGGAATAAAGTTATGACAAATGTGGAATGTGTCCATCGACATTTCACGTCGAATAGTAGCTGTCGAATTTGTGGAGCTACCATGGAGAACATTAATCATGTACTTCGATCATGTCCCCCCGCTATTCTTGTTTGGAATGACTTGATTAAACCAGATAAACTTTCAGCGTTTTTAGTCTCTTGATTTGACTGAGTGGATATCTATAAACCTCACAAGTTTCGATTATTATGTTAATACTTATGATAACTGGGATATTTTATTCGAGACAATACTTTGGAACCTTTGGTTAGGCCGAAATGCTAACGTATTTGATTCTCATCTTTACAATGGCGGTAATGTGATTGACCGTAGTAGACGAATGGTGAGTGTGACGTTGCAGGCATTGGAGGAGAGGATGCGGAAACTTCCGGGTACACGCTGCTAGACCTAGTCCTTCTCGTTGGTCCCCTCCGCCTGAACATTGGATTAAGCTTAATATCGATGGCACTCGATGTGGTTCGGATGGTTACCCTTCTTGTGGTGTCATAGCTTGGAATAGTTTTGGCTCTTGGTGGTTTGATTTTTATAAGTTCACTGGTATTTGTTTGGTCATTGATGCGGAACTTTGGGGGCGCATATGTTGGATTATCGTTAGCTTGGGATGCGGAATTAAAATACAATGTTCTCGAGCTTGATAGTCTTGAAGCTCTTCGGATGCTTCGGAATGATTACCATGGCCATCATCCTTTTATTAAGCATCTTGCCGATCTTCGTCACTGTCATTGGATTGTTGAGATTAAGCATGTGTTTCGTCAAGGAAATAAAGTGGCCGATGGTCTTGCAAATTATGAAATCCTAATTCTTTTGATCCTATGTTGCTCCATACTGTGCCAGCCTTGGTCTTCTGCAGGTTGATAACTTATGCGTGTAGACCCTGGGCGTAGGGTGGTTTTGTTTTGCTTTCACCTTGTTGGTGTTTTGTTGATTAATGGTTGCTTATTATTTGTTGTTTTTGGTATTATCACATGTACTCTTTTCCTCTTACTAGGTTTAAGGGTTTTTAATGAAGCATGTGATAATACTTCCCTGTATATGTTTTCATCTATGAATTCATACCATTTTACCTAAAAAAATATATCTGATATACACACAAACATAATACTTAGACAATAGATGGAGAATATTTAAACATATGTTAAAACTATTTTCTAATAAAAGATTAATAACTAAATAAATTATATATAATTTTGTTTACATATCAGTTAAAATTTATGAATTGAATTATACGTCAATTCAGTGACTAATGTAACCTTTGAGATTTAGTCTTAACATCTAGTTCAAGTCTATGGGTTACAGAGTTGCCCATTGATGAAAAAGAAGGTTGAATTCTATTTAATTCCTCTTGTTTGAACATGGGAAAAGAAAGGACAAAACTTGGTACGCATGATATCGCCTCATTCTCCATCTTTTTATCTCTACACCAATCCTTTTCCAATCGTAGAGTTTGGCCTTTCGAATGAGCTAGCTTTTAGTTAATAATGATTTATCCAACATTAGGAAAGGTAAAAGATCAACTTCAGCACCTCAAGAGCTTCATCAACTTCTTCAAAAGATGATGTGAGGTTATAATGGTGTAAGAGAGGTTTAAGCTTTAGAAGCTTTTCCAATTAGTTCTGGTTTATTTTTTAAGGTGTAAATTTGTAGATTTACTTCCTGTAACCATTTTTGTATGTAGGAATTCATTTTGCGTTTGATTATTTAAATAGGTTGGTGAGCCCTCAACAGCTAAGAGGAATGAGAAGGTGGTGAAAGGTTAAGCTGGGGAGCTTCCTTTGTGATTTTCTAACAATGTAGTACTAACTCCAAAATATTTATTGAAAGTCACAAATATGATGTATTATAAGTCAAATGTATGGATTTAAAGTGTTTTTAGTTGATAAGCACAATATGGAAATTTGAGTGACATTTTACGTTAGAAAATTGTAAAAATTATGTTATATGATGTGGTTTTCGTGCCACGAGACAGAGAAATCAATTAGCGCATCTAAGTAATTGATTATAGAAAATACCAATATTTTTTTTTTTGAGATACCAATTTTGTTCGTCCAATATAAATACTCACATAGTAGTATCGATATTGTGGCTTTTGGTGAAATTCCAATGTACTACTTTGGTATCTGTATGCCAATTAATAAGAAAACAACAGAAATAATAAATATAAAAATTCTAGAACTATCAAATCTAAACCTTACTTAACATAAGCTTTACATATTGCGTCCCAATACCATAACAGCATCTATTAATCTTCAAAAACCAAGGTGGAATTATACGCAACATTCTCAACAAACAAACACGCGTGTCGCCATTCAATTAAATTTCAACAATCATCAGCCTGAACCGGTAATGAGGCTTTGTATCCATTCCAGCCAAACTCAAGTGAAAGTTCCCGTTTAAGCTTCACAATGCCAGCCAAATTTGTTAGCACACATGGTTCTTTCACTCCAAGCAAACCCCGGAAAAACATGTAAAATAATTAGCCTAAATATATTTAACAGTTACAAAGGAGCCCATTCAATATTAAATAAAATATACTATATAATTCAGTCCATCAACACATATATCCAGTACTCCATCACATTGGCAAATGAAACTGATTAATGCTTTGCGATGTACACATGTGCACCCATGAATGAGTTGATTGTAGATCATGAGATTTTGCAACTTCTAAAGGGAAAAACGGAATTTCCACCATGAACACGAATTATTATATTCATCCAATTGAATATTTAAATGGAATAATTTCAGATAACTTCCAGGAAAAAAAATAAGGCATATGTACCAAGAACTGACTTCAATCGAACGTCAAGCACCACTCTGAGAAGAGAAGTGAGGTGCTCGGCCAAGTGGAATTATGAGATCTTTCATAACCTCGTATTCTTCCATACTAATATGAGCACCATCCAGCACCTATGCAACCAACAAATATAGCAATGAGCATCCCAAAAATGAAATTTTACAATCAAATTTAGGACATGAAATCTAGAGACTGTTTTTAGCCAAGGAAAAGAAACAGTCAACTCTTCTTTTTTTGCTTTACAAAGTTTTGACTCAGTGATCTCTTGATTATATTCAGCAACATATATATAAAGTATAATAAAAATAATAATTTCAAAAATACTTGTAGTCGATAAATTTGCAAGCGAAGTGAACCATGACTGATATTAATGCAAAAGGACTGGCTGAAGATGCTAATCAGCCTAAAAACAGATTACAGCAAAACGAAGATAGTAAATCAACAGAAGATTCCATCATAGCAGTCTACAGAGTTGGATTTTGCTTCTCATGTCACACAGCACAATACCAAGCTTTAGCAAACAAAAGACTGGATTTTCAAGAATTCCCTTTATGATTATACATAGAAAAACATCATGCTGCATTTACAATCTCAGAACCTCACCTTGTGAAGAAGCATCCTCCCATTAGTCATGTGAGGAGTGAGGGCAGGTATTCTACATACAGAAAGAGCATCAATAAACAGAAGAACAATTACTTGCCACTGTTTCATTCTGAATGCCGGAAGAGCTTCCACAAATGACATTGTTTCTAGCAGGCGCCCCTGTATAAAAACACATTTAAAGAACATTCAGAAGCAACTCAACTCAAGACTATGGGCTGCAAGGAATTTCTTGGCACAAAGAGATTTTATTAATAACTAATAAACATTAGTAAGTTATGCCTGAAAAATGGTCTTACAACTACAACAAAACTTCCAAATAAAAGAGTTCAGTGTTCTCAACGTCCTAAACAGAACTATCATAACTTTTCTTTATATGATTAACCATTTAACAATTAAGGGTTCAGAATTAATACCATTCCTTGCTCCAAAGTAGATATTGGTATAGGCAGTCTAAGAGCAGTTACAATAGCAGGCAAAACACGAGAAATACAACCCGCAAGAGTTTCTTTAATTTCAAAAGAACGACCATCTCGCAAGACAATCTTATGTGGATACTCCCTCCCATTAACTGAGAGGTACTCTTCATGGAAAGTTTCATCTCTCCCATATATATAAGCCAAAGAAGATGATGTTATCCATTCAAAAAGCGCATTCCACATTGTTGCAAAAGTTGACAGCTGATGGACAACAAAAAGAGTAAGACAAACAGTGAAAGAATGAAGGAATGCAAAAAACATATGGCACTCTTGTGAGGTCTGTAAGACTCACGGTTAAACTGAAACCCTCTGGTGGAGCATCAAACCAAGAGTCTTCTGGGTCAAAAAAATCAGAGCGTGGAATCCCAGGTTTTGCTGGCCACTTTACAGAGGCTTCTTCTAGTTCAGATTCTACTTCCGGTACAAGTGTAACAACATTCTTCCCTCGCTCCTCCTTGTCCGCCTCAATTGGATATGGCATATGATAAGTCCAGCTTCAGAAACTGTACATAAAATGGAGGTTATGAACAAACTCAGAAATTCTGAATAAACCGTTAAAGCTTTGAATCCACAAATGCACACAAATTACCAGCGTCATTGACACCAGAATCTCCAGATGCCACAGCTGCAGCTGCCTTGCTCAATGCCATAGCACAAGCTTCTGCGGATGCAAACCGTAACATTTTATCATCATCACCATCTTCTGCACTTCCACACATTTCAGAATCTCCTTTCTGAGTATCCATTTCTTTAACTTCACAAAGATTATCTTTCTGAGGATTGCCAACATTTTTATCTTCAGCCCAAGTAACTGAGCGATTAAGTTTCTTTCCTCCAGCAGATTTAAGGGAGGACTTAAGCAGAACCTCACTTGATGCCACAGCCTTGTCAGCACGGGTTTCTTTCTCTGCTTCAGTACCAATTGTGCCCAAATCACTCTGATAGACACAACTAGTTGAAGACAGTTCTACAATGTTAGAATCTTTTTCCCTTAAAGGAGATGAGGATTCCGATATCATACACTTTTCCTCAAAGTCTTTACAAACTCCTCCTTGTTCTACTTCTTTTAATTTTAAACCTGAACAGGCATGTCTTGACCCTGGGGGGGGGGCTTGGAAACAGTATATTCATCATTCATGAATATTTCACTAGTAAACTTCATCTCATTAATAGCATCTTTCATGCTACTACGCTTTGTTCTTTGACCCTGAATACCAGGATTCTTAGAAACTGTATATTCATTGTTCATAATTATAGTACTAGTGAACTCTATCCCATTACTAAAAAATGAATCTCCTATGCTATTACCAATCTTGGAACTACTCGAATCAAACGCTGCAATTAAAAGGAAAAAAATATGTTAAACAAAATAAAACCAAGTTTTTCTATAAACAATAACTTGAATAATTGCGGGTAAAAATCCCAACCTCCATTTTTGCTGCTCTTTAAAGGTGAGGGCTTAGAAACCAATTCTCTTTGTGGGACATAGCCTTCAATAGCATTGGAAGGACCCACCAATGAAACTTCCCGGGCCTTTGTTTCCTCATTCTCTTTAATCCTCAAATTGTAAAACCCTAAATCCCCATTCTTCCCCAAACCCTTGTCGCCCAAATCCACGTCCTCAAACAAACTCAAAATCGCATTAAGTTTCGCATGATTCAAAACGGAACACCTCTCTTCCTGTAAACTCCCAGCGAAAGCTCGACTATTGATGAGGCAATCGGGGGAGCAAAACCTGCTGGTTTCTTGTAAATCGTAAACTCTATGTTCTTTCAATGAGATTCGGTAACGGCCTCTTCGACGGGGTTCGGAAGGTAAGGGGTTTGGGCAGATAGGGTAACCGCAGGCGTTGGAAATCGACCTCTCGGTCACGACATCCTCGTAGTCGCTTCGGGAAATTAAGGAACTGGAGGAGAAGAGTTGTTTTTCTCCTTGGATACCGTCGAGCAGGTAAAGTTGAATCTTGTGCACGGCTTCTGACACGGAGATTGACTCATCTTTGGCCATTGATGATAAATTTTTTCTCCTTTTTGGGGATTCTTGTCTCAAGTTTTCTGTTGAACTTCGAAAAAAAATTGGGAGGTCGAAATAATTGGCCTTTGTTAAGGATGTTTTGACATTCCATAGTCATGTTCAGTGTTCTTTTATCACGATAATTTACCTATTTGGTACTTTATCTATTTTCTTATTTTTATTTTAGTTATTAAATTATTATATTGTATAAAATTATACTTAATGTTATATTTTTAATTTATTAGATATAGTTAATTAAAACATTATTCTTATAATGTGATGATAATGTGATAAATTTTATTATTATTTTTTAATTTTCACGTTATTTTCAATGATATTTTTAATAATTGTAACACCCCAAATCCGATTAAACCATAACCCGATGGGTTTAGATATTAAATGGGATCACCAAAGTGGTTAACCCAAAATTTTTCTTAAAAACATTCAAATTTTTCAAAACATAGTTCATCTCATAAGACAAAATAAAGTAGAAATAATTAAGTTTACAAATCGTGGAGCTCCCAAAATATATCTCAAAATACAAATAATCCAAGAGTTATGACTCAAATACAAAAGGATCTATGAAATACATGTCCACTAAGATAATCAAGACATACTCTACAATTATTGATATCTAGAAATCTGAATAGTTGGGGATAGCTCCCGAATTCGGCACATACTAACCTACGAACGAAAACAATTTCGAACACTGAACTACAAGCTTAGTGCCACATAAACGACTCCATTATACTACATGCATCCATTAACTACGAATGCTTAGCGAGTTAAGTCAGACCACAACAAAATGGATTAACCATGGCATAATATCATGCAACAAATAGTATATGAAAACATATTATGGGCTCACCATTTAATCACGTAAATGCCTCAGCACTAATACTAAAGTGTCTCAACACTTATACAAAATGGCATTCGCACTGATAGAAAAGTGCCTTAGCATTGGGGGAGAGAATTTGGATAACTCTACTCATATATTCGAATAACACATGCATACTTTCAAGTGATCCATGTGTCCTCATCGTTTCTCGAGTGCCAAACAAAGGTTAGTTTTATGCCACATAAATTAATGTTGTTGTTCTCAAATGTTTCAAATAATATTCTTTGTAGTCTTATTAAATAAACCTCGGTGCTTTCATAACCCCCTTTTAAGCTTACAAACTTAGCGAATTTTTCTATCCAAACCAGGATGACAATACTAATATTGTGCCTGCCAGTATCGATACTAACCTTGTGGTATCGATACTAACCTTGTGGTATCGATATTGTCCCCAGCATTGATACCAAAATCAGCTTTGATGTTTCAAAATAATCCAGTATCGATACCCCATGGGAAATATCGATACTGTGAGAGTATGCCCAAAGACCAATCATATGATGATTATATTAACATATCTTATTTGTCGTATTTATCAAATAAAGACATTATTGTTGTTTTCTTTTATTGTATTTTTGTGCATTAAATAAACTAAAAGATAATAATGTTCATATATTAATGTGATTATTATTAAAAGATCCTTAGTCAAGTATTATTATGGGCATGGATAGTAATAATACGCTTGAGACTAACATGTTATTGATTGATGACAATGAGTTGTCATTGACATAGAGATGTCAAAATTAATACATGAATATATTGTTAGATAACAATATATTGGATTGATCTGCTATGAGCATATGTCTTGGATTATTATGCGATGGTCACGATATTGCTCATAGTGACAACTATATGTATAATCCTTAGACTTTAGATCATTACAATCTCAACATATATTGTTGTATGTTTTGGTACAGTTAAACATGCTCCGTAATTGGTTGCGCTATAAAGACTTACATTAAACATGTCACGATATATGTAGTGGGGTGTGAATGATCGAGATAGGGTATGTCCTTTTTACATAATATGAAATATATCACAGGACACTTGATTGAGTGAGACTCAAAATGCATGGCCATGCTCGAATAAGGATAATCAAGTTATTCATGTACAATCAAATTGTACATATGTGACACATTTTATTCATGTCACATATGTACATATGTGACTAACTCTTTTGAGTCCTTATGTGACACATTTATTCATGTACAATCAAATTGTACATATGTGACACATTTATAAGTTGATCGAGTTAGTCACATACATGTTATGTCAAATCTTGACTTCCCATAACTTAGGTAACAATGACATATTGCTAGATGTCACTCATTGTTTTTAATATTAGAATAGTTCTAATTATTACTATTAACTTTACAGGAACCTACAGGGTCACACCCAATGGTTGAAAAAAGAGAGCAACTTATAAATGTGTCACATATTTACAATTTGATTGTACATGAATAAAATGTGTATTTAATATTAATATTTATATATGTGTGCGTCTGAGTAGTTTTAATTACACATGAATATCCAATTTAATTAATATAATGTAATTATACTTTTAATTAAATTAAAATTTAAAAACCCTAATAACTAGGGAGACATATATATAAGGGATATGTTGGTCTAGCAGCCAAAAAAAATTCCCTTTGAAAATTCTGAAACTCCTAGAACAATTTTAGACAAAGGGTTTACTCTCAACTATTTTTCAACTGGGTGAACCGAGTAGAGGTCGAGACGATTTTTCATTAAGGCTAGGATTCAAACCGTTCGTGATCACCATTAGTCGATGTTGTCTTTGCTGATTTTTAAGGAACTCAATGTAAGTAATCACATCCCTTCCTCTCAATTTTGGATTTAACGTACTTGGATCACTGGTGAGACCGTTGCTTTTTTCCATCCTCGTTCCATATTCACGTTTACGTTAAGTTCATACATACTGGGGAAATTTTTAAATCAATTTTACCATCAATCGACTATCTGATTTTAGTTTCGTCTTCCCGTTGTGATCCTTAAATTTCTATATTTCCAACGAATATTTAGTTGTCAAAATCTGAGGTCAAATCACTTCTCAATTGCCCACATTAATAGTTAAGTTCAATCTTTTTCATTACATGTTTTGTCCTTTATTATTCTTTCATTACCATTGTTTTAATATTGTATTTATTATATTAATCTCTTTATTAACCTTGTTTTTATTGTCTTAATCTTTGTTTATTTGTATTAAATTCTAGCAAACAAAGCACTTGTCTAAACCTATCTGTTGTCCATCCTATCCATATACATCATCTCGTTTTCTTCATCGAGTCTAGAGCTTTCTAGGTTTGATTCCTCAACTCAAGCAACCTTCATATTTTCCGTTGTAGTTTCTCTTTCACCTCTCGTGTGTCATGTTCGTGGCTTTTATGTAATACCCCCAACCCGTATCCGACCCGGATCCGAGCCCAAGATGTCACATTGACTTTTCAAACTTTGACTCTTAAAGAAAATCATGAAAATTTTAAACTTTCAATAAAATAAAAGATGTTAATTCACACAAGTTGGACCAAAATAAACAAAATCAATCAGAGCATTAGTAATTCACAATTTCGTTACATGCCAACAAACTATATGCAACCAAATATCTACACTTAATTACAATTCTGATCTGATCTAAGGAAATGAGAGTCTAACTTGTCTTGCTCCTCTTCACTTCTCCTCTCGCTTTCAGAACCTACGTGTGAAACACTCACACGCTAAGTCGATGACTTAGTGAGGCAAATAAACATATAATGTAAACTATAACTTGTAATCATGCATGAATAATTACTACTATTATATCATACCACTCATATCCTTATTCATGTAACAAATACACTACATACATACATACATACATACATACATGTCATTCTCATTCATATCTCTTATTCTCTTGTTCATATAATCTCTCATGTTCATATCATATATCTTAACATGTACTCACTTATATCATATAATATATACAATCAAGCAACTATATCATCATCTTCATTTTTATCACTATCATAGATTCCTTTTATCATATGATCTTATAATTACCATTTGTGCAATCATATATCACACATAACATTTTACAAGGAAACAAACATATCATCATATCAAGTTTATTTATATTATCTCTTTATTAGCCCATGTACACATGTGAAAACTAAAGATATACGAGTAAATAGAGGTTATGCACTATACTGTCACCACAGCTCGTATAATTCCCTCAATGGGCACTGAATATTTGTCCCGAAGGACCACTATGTCCCGAATGACCACTGATTGTTCCGAAGAACCACTATGTCCCGAAGGACCACTGCTTGTCCCGAAGGACCACTGATAATCCCTCGACTCTTGGCATGCCAACTATACCCCTAGCTCTCATATCACATAACATGGACCTTATCTTTTATACCATTACACATCTTCACATAGACACATAGCTTTTCACATAACATTTCCATTTGCACATGTAATTACTTAACTTATTTTCCCATAGCTCATGTTCCATATTCATATCTCACAAGCACTAGCTCATATTACTTATATTCACATATATATTCACATCACTAATTCATATAAGCTCATGTATTCACATGGGTCGTTTCTCATAGCATATCACGTAGCTTCACAACTCATCTCATATAATTTTATGCATATACCCTTATATCAATACCATATAACTTATCTTACCGATTTGCATAATCCCTTACAACATACAAAGTTTATACTAATTTCATATATTTACTTAATTCAACCTCACATATTTTATTATCTAAACCTATATTCACATATGATTTCCTATATAATTCTTATATAACTACTATTAAATGTTAGTATAATAACTTATGCCAGTGTTTCTTAGTTACATCTGATTCTCATTTTCTATCATATATATACATCAATATTACTCAACTTATTTCAGTCTACATTTAATCATATGAGTCCATCATATTAGTTACATAGAATCTAACTTACATAACTTATACTTGGTTATCGTATTTCACATATATCATTTCCCTACAATATACTATATGTCATATAGTTCCCTTCCACTTATAACATTCCCTAGACTTTGTGTACACTTATTATATATTTTACCTATGATTCTTATATCTTCTCCTAGTCATATAGACCCATAATTCCTCATTACCTAACCTATATTACATGTACATATA